GTGTCTTTTCTTTCTCCTGCCGTTGCAGCAACGGCAGCAGCAGCAGAAGCAGCAGCAGCACTAGCAGCAGTGGATCAGGAAGCAACTTCAGCAGCAACGGCAGCAACAGGCGGCAGCAGGAGCGCTCGGGCTTGCTGCTGTTGCTGGGGGGAGACCTGTGTGGGTGCTTTTGCTGCTGCTGCTGCTACTCTTTTTGCTGCAGAAGATTTATTGCTTTATCGTCAACTCGCTGTCCATGCTGAGAAGGCTGCAGCTGCAGCGGTATGTCTGCTGCTGCTTCTGCTGCTGCTGCTGCTGTTCCAGGAGCACTGGAGGCAGACTTATCTTGGCGCCTTTTCCTAACTGTTCCTGCTGTTGCTGCTGCTGCTGCTGCTGCTGCTGCTGCTGTTTGCGCAGGCTGCTGGTGAGTGGGGTGTTGGCCCCTTGGCTAGACGGCGACTTGGAGGGCCGCGATGGCGTGAGCTGCAGCGTAATCCTGAGCAGCAGCAGCAGCAGCAGCAGCAGCAGCACGCCGCTGCCGATTCCGTCTCCCCAGGAGCCCCTGGGGCGTCTTCTTGAAGACGCATTTCTGCTGCTGGCTTCAACAGACCTGCGCATAAAGGTGCTGCGGGCTACCGGCGCAGCAGCAGCAGCAGCAGCAGCAGCAGAAGACGGGGAGAACGAAGCAGACCCCGGGGCCCCCAGCAAGGGGCCCCCCAACCTTAGGGTACAGCGGGGGGCCCCCGGGGGCCCCGGGGGCCCCGCAGCACAAGTTGAGGGTCTGGTGGCTTCGCTGGTGCGGCGGGTGCTGCAGACAGAGGTGTGTCTTTTATCTGCTGCTTCCTTTAATTTGCTGCGTTGCAGCGCCTAAACCCTAAATTAGGGTTTAGGGTTAAGGGCTTGCGCCAGCGCTGCCGCTTTCAGGGTTGGAACTGAGGTTCTAGTGTTTGAGGCCGTGACTTGACTCTGCAAGCTGAAGCGGCAGGGTTTGGGGTTTAGGGCTAGGGTTTAGGGTTTAGGGCTGGGGCTTAGTAGGTTTAGGGTTTAGGGTTTAGGGTTTGGCTGCGCGGCTGCAGGTGGTGCCGGTGCTGCGGTGTCTAGACACCTTGTTTCGCGCGCGGCGCTCTCCGCTGCAGGAAGCTTGCATGCGTTCTTTGTGTTGTCTTTTGAGGGACTACAAGTATAAACCCTAAACCCTAAACCCTAAACCCTAGACGCTAGGGCGGCAGACTGTATTGCTGGCTGCTTCGCACGAAGCAGCGGGAGCTTGGGGTTTAGGGTTTGGCTTCGTGGCCGCAGGTGGCCACAAAGC